CTTTCTCCCTCCCTCTTTCTCTTTCTTTCTCCCTCTCTCTTTCTCTTTCTTTCTCCCTCTCTCTTTCTCTCTTTCTCTCTCTTTCTCTTTCTTTCTCCCTCTCTCTCTTTCTTTCCTCTCTCTTTCTCTTTCTTTTCTCTCTCTTTCTCTTTCTCTCTCTCTTTCTCTTTCTTTCTCCCTCTCTTCTTTCTCTTTCTTTCTCCTCTCTCTCTTTCTCTTTCTTTCTCCCTCTCTCTCTCTTTCTCTTTCTTTCTCCCTCTCTCTTTCTCTTTCTTTCTCCCTCCTTCTTTCTCTTTCTTTCTCCCTCTCTCTTCTCTTTCTTCTCCCTCTTCTCTTTCTCTTTCTTTCTCCCTCTCTCTTTCTTTCTCCCTCTCTCTTTCTTTCTTTCCTCCTCTCTCTTTTTCTCTTTCTTCTCCCTCTCTCTTTCTCTTTCTTTCTCCCTCTCTCTTTCTCTTCTTTCTCCCTCTCTCTTTCTCTTTCTTTCTCCTTCTCTCTTTCTCTTTCTTTCTCCCTCTCTCTTTCTCTTTCTATTCTCCCCCTCTTTCTCTTCTTTCTCCCTCTCTCTTCTCTTTCTCGCTTTTCTCCCTCTCTCTTTCCTTCTCTCTCTCTCTCTCTCTCTCTCTCTCTCTCTCTCTCTCTCTCTCTCTCTCTCTCTCTCTCTCTCTCTCTCTCTCTCTCTCTCTCTCTCTCAAGCTACTTTCAATTCTGTCTTAAGAAATCAAAGCTCAGTATATTATGGAGTCACATCAATCGATCGATATCCCAAAGAATTTGTTCTTTCAGTGAATTGTGCAACCGAATTGTTTGATGAGATTTATTCACTCGGTGATTTCATCTCCCCCAGAGAATTTTAAAAATACATATTTGTTTGCTTCCATGATTCACATACAAATGAATAGAATTAGATGGTAGGTTAATGCTTTAAACATATAAATATGCAAGACATCGCAAGTCATAGAGCATTATGGTAAAGTATTGTGGTGAAAGGGCTTGAAAGTTTGAACAAAATGTTTTGAAAATAGAATAGAAAATTCAGTTGTGGGTGTGGATGTGGTAGGTGAAGAAGTGGTGAAATATTTAGCTTGTCTGATGCGACAGGTAAGGCGAGGAGGAGCAGAGATAGGGAAAGTTGTGGATATTGGAGTATCTGGATTTAAATTGGAATATAGGATTTGACTGGGAGATTGGGGAATGTGAGAAGTAGGGGGAAGAGGTACTGTGGAAGATGTAGAGATAGTTTGGGTAGAGGGAGAGGAGTGGGGTGATAGATAGTATTGGAGTAGGCTAGGGAGTGATAGAAAAACCTCGTCGACGTGCTTCCTGTCAGGCCTCTCGTAGAGTAAGGCCAAGTTTGTATCTGATCACAGTTACCTTAAACTCAAACATGTAGGCAGGGCAATTTCAATAAAATAGATTATGAGAGCCAACGTGATTGGTACATGCACGTGATTTTGTAGGGCAATCTGAATAGTGGAGCGACATTGTTTTGCATGGTGGCCAGAACGAAAACATTTTTCTCATTGACGACGGGGGGGGGGGTTCAATATAATCTGGCAGGCTAGTCTCCGCTGATATAGACCGTATAGGGAAGGTCATGTCTACGGAAGGTAATCTTGGCAATATTGACGTAACTAGGACAAAAAGAGTACTGAAAATGTTGGCAGAGGTGGAAGCAGTAGGACGAGGGTGGGGGAAGTTAGAGTGGTGTGGAGTAGGGGGGGGGGGCAAGAAGGTTGAAGAGTTGTAATATGGGAGGATGTACGAAATGGAGACGATTGTACATTAAATAGGGTGGAGGATATTGGGAATGATGAAGGAGTGTCCTTTGAATGTTATAATCAGAGTAGATGATTTAGGATTGGTCAGATTAAAATCGCATCGCTATGGTGATCAAAGGAGAGTCAAGGGTCGGTAAACCACGAGTTCGATTCAAAGAGGTTAGTTGATAAGGGCAAAGATCAAGCCTCCGTGACCCTAATGAGGGTACACGATCATCACTGGCCATAGTAAGCCTGAAATACGTGGGGAAGATAAAAGGTCCACCCCTTAGAGTCCTTACGAGGGGTAAAGGCTAATCCGTTGACTAAGTGAATGCTGTGCTCATGGCTCCCTTTGGCTGCTCATGACTGGCACCAAGTCAGCCTTTCGCCCTTTCAACACGCCTCTCATTCCTAAGAAATTGAACGAGAGAAGGGAAAAAAAGACCGTCTAACTTCGCGTTTCCTAATTATACATCCCACCAAGGAATTGGGAGAGAATATGATTAGATGTAAATGAAACAAACGAGCACAATAGTTTTCTTCGCTCGGGGTTTCAACAAGTACGGCTTGTATTGTTGAACTGGTATATTAAACCATACATACCATTAAAGGTACCTTAGCTATAGATCAATATGAATTACATATTTTAGATTCGTTTAAGCATCACTAAGAATATTTACAAGATGTGTAAAGACTGGAATGTTTTTATACACCTTTACATAAGCCTTACTTAAAGTGACCGTGTTTACATTGGGGGCAGTAGTCGGCGAGTGTTATAAACCAAGTTATATGTAACAACCTATTCAGCTTCATACACCGTGGCAATAAATCAAGAAAGAATATATGTTATTGTTCCAGTGCTAAATGTAAGATTGAATACTTTGATGATGAAGTTGAATGTTTGCAAGGCACCTACAATGGCTTTTGAAATGGGACAAGACATTCATATAATACAGGATAGGCAGCAATTGGAATCGCACGATCATGGTAATTTTCTATATTATAATCGCCAAGCGGACATCGATGATTTTGGTATCGTTGGATTCCTCTCACTCTCTACAATGCCAGTATGTGGGTTTTATTGGGTGGAAACAGCCCCTAAGCAACAAACTTGGACCCGATAGCAGGGGAGGGCATGTAGGGTTCCAGCGAAATTGCAGGTTAATTAACACTAATAATACACAAAATCGACAGTATACAATTACTAATCAATGAATAAGTCCCTGCAGTGTAAAATGCAAGGGAGGCTGATATCCCCCAACCCCCGCCCTGGAAGACAAAGAATCCACCACATATGTACAGCTGGATAGAGCATTACACAATTATAGAGGTATTGGAACATTCCCATAGAAGCAGCATACTAACCCATGCCATAGTCAGTATTGTATACTGAGAAGATTGTAGTATAATCCAGATGAAGACAGGTGGTGGTGGCCTGCTTTCCTCAGTGGGTAGTGCGTAGCTCTTAAGGGGACGCCGCAACCCTCGGGATTGGCAGTTATGTAAGATGATGGGATGGAATGATATACACTAGTAAGTTGTATATCTACATAATTACTGTCACTAGATGGCAGTAATTATCTCATTTAGTTACTGAACTGATTATGTCGTCCTCTAAAAATATAGTCTCTCAGTCAAGTTTCCTGTCTTCTGGAAACCATGAGATATGTATTCACAACAGGAAAAATACGGTAGAATTTCCCTTCTGAAAACTATGAGGTACAGGTTCATAACAGGTATGGTACAGACCTACCATCATGACGGTACTGACCTGCCGCCATAGACTCCGTGATGGCCAAATGTTGAGGGTGTTTATTCTATGAGATGAACTTTGTGCTCGAGGTTGCCACCAGCTGCCTCCATCACCTCCAGCAATAGCTGAGAACCCTCCCAGCCCCTAGCAGCATTAATCAATCTGGTTAGTACCTTACAAATCCTAGGTTATATAGTACAGTGTCTGCTCCGCATCTAGTTTGTGTGCGCTCCCTGGAACCTTTCATGTCCTCCCCTGCTATCGGGTCCAAGTTTGTCACTAACGGGGTGGAGGGGGGGGTGTTTCTGTGCAATAACACCTACATATTTGCATTGTAGACAGTGAGTACAATCCAACAATACCAAAATTGTCAATGTTCGCTTGGCAGATGTAATATAGAAAATTACCCTCAACTCTTCACCCTCTGTCAAAAGCCATTAAACCTCAATGAAACACATTCTGTGAAGATATGTTCCATTTCCATACGTGTTTGAATGCACACTTGTTAAAGGCAGAGTAGGGCTGGTATTCTACAGAAATTTGTCTGCTAAACAGAAACAAAAGACAACTAACGGATGGTGACATCACTACGGAAATTTTTCTTTAGTCTGTATTTTAGTTATTTTTTATGACTGCAGATGGTTTGATGCAAATGAAAAGTATTTAAACCAGTATAGAAATATTTTCCCCATGTTCAAATAAATTAAACTTAAAATTGCTAAAACCATAATTGTAAGAGTAGATATGGTGTGGCAGACCAAACATCAAAACAGTGGAAATTTCATGTGATGTCACGTCAGCTAGATCTTTCAGCAAGGCATCACCAAAGGCAAAGCCACAGTCTCATAGAGTGATCTTACACCTTTAGCCATGCAATAAAGTGACTAAGAATAATCATATACTTTTTAGATAAATCAACTTTACAGGCTGAATGTCACATTTTCTTAAGTTATACATCTAATGCATTTTCTATAAAGAGATGCAGATGCATTTTGTGTTGTTGAATGTTGTTACATTATTGGTTTGATAATATATATATTTTTGGTAAATTTACAGCGGATAACAATCAGGGTTATATTAGAAAAGAAAAAGAAAGTGCATATGATGCACAAACTGAAAATAAAGGAAATATGTGACAGAAGAGAGAAGATTTGGACCCATCTTTTTCTAAGTTCTTCGCCTTGTTTTACATCACAAATGTTTACAATACTATGACTACTTAATTCATTCCTGTGATCATTGAACTTGCTCATGTATTAATAAGCACTTGTGAAGACAATTATTTTGTGAATTTCATCATATGATTTCCCTAATTCATGTTTTTTATGTAATCCTTTATTTTAGATAAACTTTTTTTTACATGTTTTGATAGTTTTGCTCTATTTATAAATACATAATGTGCATTTTCAAGAATCCACAATAACCATTCCTTGACAAAACGCCGGTGAGGAAAGTTTCGTTTTTAGTGTTACAGGAATTCTGGATCC